TAGTAGTAGTAGTAGTAGTAGTAGTAGTAGTAGTAGTAGTAGTAGTAATAGTGGCGGTGGTGGTGGTAGTAATAGTAATAGTAGTACTTACTAGTAGTAGTAGTACTAGTAGTAGTAACAACTCAATTTTCTGAGTACTTTACAACGTATTTTCCTCACAACAACCCTGTTCCATGGGTAGTTCAAATAAAATTATCCCGCATTTCACAAATGAGGCTCAGAGAGATAAGTGATGTGCTGATGTTCACACAGCTGCTAATAATAATACCTGACATCAATATTACCATCGCTTTAAAATATGGGTTTTTATCCTGGGGTCCACAGGCCCAAAGACAGATTTCAGGGAGTCTGTGAACTTGGTTGGGGAAAAACAATGACATCTTTATTGCAATATTTTGCAATCCTATGCATTTTATTTTACGCATTTAAAAGCATTATTCTGAGAAGGGGTCCATGGGCTTTACCAGACTGCCAGAGGGGTCCAGGACCCAAAAAAGGTTAAGAAGTCCTGCTTCAACATTTGCGAAGCATTTTAGATAAAGATCAGTATGCTGGGATAATCCTGTTAGATACGGGAGTCAGGAAAGACCTAGGTTCAAATTCTGCCTTTGACACTAACTATAGAAAAGGCACGCTTTCTCTGAGCCTAAATTTCCGAGATTTCCTCAGTGCTAATTGATAACGCTCTACCTCCAAGACCACACTGCCTAAAGACTTAAACTTTGATCTTTTGTTGATAAGCTTCTTTCTTTTAATTACACTATACTAACAAAACACTTCCCTTGCTCCTTCTTTCCCTAACCAACAGGACACTCCTCACCCCAGCTCGCTCTCTCTCTCTCTCTCTCACACACACACACACACACACACACAGATATACACCCCATGCCTCTGCCATCATCGTCATTAAAAATAATTAATTACTTAATTACAAACAGAGCTGTACAAAAAAGAAAATTACAGAGACACAGTTCCTGCCCTCTGGAAGCCCAGGTTGAATCTGCTGGAACATGGACATAACAGGAATGAAAACATTCCTAGTACCTACAAGGACTGCGAGGAATTCCATCATTCTTCAGCTCCAGGGCAGACAAGGGGGGGAAAGCTCTTAGAGGCCTCAGCCCCTCCCACTCCCAAGAAGCCTTCAGGGTTGAATGCTTCCTTCATCCCCCTTCCCCAACCAAATGTCATGGGCAGAGAAGAAATCTAAGACCACCTGGTCATAGAATCCATGTGTCCATATTCTTAGTCGGCTAGACCCTCCACGTTTCCAGATACCACAGAGGAACCAAGAGAGTCACAGATTTTCAAAGAAAAGGGGCAATATTTCCAACAGCTGCCCAACACCCCCCCCATCTCCCGCCCCCAGCTTTCCCAAAAGATTCTATGCTTCAATCAACTCTCTCTACTTCCTCCTTTCCCCTCCCCCTATACACACACACACACACACACACACACACACACACACAGACACACACACTCAGACACAAC